GTGAGCACACCAACTGCTTGCAAAGTCTTGGAAGGCTTTTGGAGTAATACTGAAGAACTGGTTATGAAAGTTGCCTCAGAAGGACAGTCCTCCACTGGAGCCAGGATATCAGCTTAGCAAACAGCCTGATCCCTGACAGCATCTCTTCTGCATTCAGTAATACTGCTCCTCTAAGCAGGTTAAACTGACCAGATAGAAGTTACTTTATAAGAGCACCTAGTTTGGAACAGAGGAAAGATGCATTTCAAAGGCTTAGCCTTTGTGCCCAGGGGAGAGCAAGGCATTTCTTGGCCCAGACTTGGCAGTGATCAGACAATGCTAGAGAAGCAGTGCAACTCACATTTGCAGTGCATCAGCACCTGTAGCTATAGAAACTGGGTTTGATCTACCTCTCCCATCCCATAAATTCTTTTTAGTGTAATTCTCCTGGCTTCTACACAGCAGGCTGGTGAGGAGTATGGCACCAGTGAGGCAGGGCTACGGGTCACAGGAAGAAAGCAGCCCATGGTAGTGGGACCTCATCCTGGCTCAGCCATGCTGCCCAGCAGGGACAGCTGCTGGCTGCACATCTGGCTTCCCTGCAATATAGGGCACCCTGGGTAGCCACAGAGCATGGACGCATCCCAGATTGCAGAAGGGCTGATGCCTGTTCACATCAGTATAACAAACCCAACCTTGGACAGCTGAGCCTACCATGAAACCAAAACAAGTAGGAAACAGTTTACAATCTGCTTGTGTATGTTGTGGCACTAAGGCAAATAACAATCAAACAGTTCATCAGCTCCTTGAGATACAGATTCTAAGCAATTACCAATGAGGAGTAATAATTTCTCATGCCCTACCTCTCTTCCTGCATTTAATAGGTAGCTCTTCTTCCTCTGCTGCTCTCCACGCACGCTCGAAAACATTACAGTTTCAATTCTGTACAAAAGGATTGACAGTGTCTTGCTTTATAAAGACAAATACAACCACACCACCCTTAGATTTCAACGTGCCCACCTAAAGAGAAATTAAGTATGTCACAGAGTTTTTCAGTTGCTTTGTAATTTACCTAATTCAATGCCAGATTCCTATTTTGGAAAACAAACTTCTGGCATGCTTATTTTCAGCTGTGCAAGGAAAAACAAATGAATCAAAATTCCTTTTCCTTTTTAAAGATGTTTAGAGGAAGGCTAGACAAACAAATTCAAGGGAAATGTAAAAGCTACTGTGAATCTATGCAGCATATTCTCTCTTTACCACAAATGTCAATAGAAACAGCATTATGCCACTTTCTGTTTATGGATCTGTATGTTTTCTGTCCCAAAATATTTATCAGTCTGTACTGCTGCAACAGGCAGTTTCTAAGTAGGTCTTGCATTGAATGAGAAATGTTCTGGTACCACAGGTGGGTCACAGTCACACTGTGTTGTCTGCACACTGATTACATGCAGATGACATATATATATATATATATATATATATATATATATATATATATATATA